TGGGTTCATCAGTTAACGGCAGCTCCCAACAGGGTCATATATTACCCCTGGCTGAGGGACGGTGTGTCAGCTATGGCTGCTGACTCTTCCCTGCAGAGATCGATAACCCATGGTGAGAGGAAGCAACACGGCCTAAATGAAACCACTAAAGCTCCTCTCTGACTCGATCCTTGTGTTAAACGTAGTTTGCTAGCATGCACGTTCCATGAAATGAATAGCAAAGGTTGGACTGTAGGGTACCGGGCCATGCAGCATTGAATTCAGAGAGATGGCCAGGTAGGTGACAGGTGGAAATTGCAATATCCAACCTGGATCCTCCACTGGCACAACTTCAGTTCCTCTTGTCCCACCTTTGAGCTCTGTTCTGTCTGGGCTGGCTCCTGTCGTGCTGATTCAGTATTTGCTAACCACTCCATGGTGAAGCCCATGATATGGTTGTGTGGAATGGTTCTGTTGTTGCTGAGGGATTTGGGCAACAGAGGCTGAGGGTGGAGTGTTGTTCTCTAACAGCATCCAGTGATATAACTCCTTCGGTATCATAAGAAACATCCTCACTGTGCCATCCAAAGGCTTTGGCTTTCTTAGGCTGGGACTGTACCCCTATTTTGAGTAGTATTTATCTTGCACTTGTTACTCAATAGAAGCATTTGAGGGTATGTTGGTAAATACGGTCTGGAAAACAGTGGCACAGGACCACGTCACCAGCTGGGGGCTTGGGATGTTCATCAAAAGTTTTGGGGTTTTATATTTCCCGTGTTCTGCCAACCTTGTAAGCAAAACCACAAAGTGATTTATGGCTTTGTGTTACGTTCCTGTGAAACTTGCAGGATTTTGATATAAAATTCTCCTGGCTTTAACTGTCAAGTTTCACCTGAGTCCTGCTTGGAGACCATTATTCTTTATGTTGTCATTTCTGAAGAGCCTTTTACAGCGGGAGCTCGGCATTATATAGCACTTAATAACAAGCAGGTTACACTCCTGAGTAAGGAACATTCTGCTACGTTCAAACCTTTTATAGTGATCATTGCAGCTGTTGATGTCCAGGACGGATGTGCAGAGTGTTTTGCAATGTGTTTGGGTAGAGAAGTGCCGTTCTGCTCCAGCACTTCTTTTGCTTCGTGATGTAGAACTTCAGGAGCGTTTTCCATATGTCAGTTGGGTAAAAGTCCCACGTGGTGGCAGTAGGCAATGGGAGGCTCCTGCTTTTGGAGCTATCCTTGGAAGGAATCTGACCCTCTCTTGGTCTATTGAATAACCTGCTGGGGGATCTTGCCTTAATTAACTGGTCTAGTAGTAGTCTAGTAGTAGTCTAGTAGTGATGGCCTTAATGTTGTCTTTGGCAGAAGGGCTGTCACGTGCAAAGCTCCTTGCCAGGTGGGAAAGATGTGGTGGGAAATAAAGGGAAGATGATGTTGCGGTAATGTTAGAAAAGCTTCTGTCTTTGCAACATGTATGCCCAGACCTCAGATTTTAAGCAGGAAGGTGTTGTTGGCCCAGCTTGGTCATCAACACAGGATATGCAGAACAGGCATAGTTGCTTTTTTCAGCCAAGGGTGTCATGAAGGAAAGGAGGAGGGGTGGCTTTGGGTGAGGCTGATGGACAGGGATGTCTCAGCGTTGCTTTTTTCCTGGCTCTGCTGCAGACTCTCTGGGTGACCTTGTGGCTATTGCAGATCTCTTTTCCTGTAGTGTCTGTGCAGTGTGTTCGAGCCCTTTCCTGGGACGAGGAGTGTCTCACAGCATTGGGGTTTGGCTCTCATTTCAGGTTTCTGGACACCGCTTTTGATATCAATAATAATAATAGCGAGAGACTACAGCTAAAGCAACAATTCCCAGGAAAAATAGAGCAGCCGTGTTCTGCTGTGTGGGTAATTCAGGGGTAAGGAATATAGATGAGTTGTAACCAGAAATCAGAAGCACTGAGAGCTCCATCCAGGTTGATTACTGTGTGCTGGTGGTTGTTATGTGACCAAATGGTGCAGATGTTTCCCAGGGAGGTGCAGGAATGAGGGCAGTGATCAGAGCAGGACTGGACTCTGGGTGCCAGGCAGGGGCACTGGAGGTGGGAGAGCCCCAGGTAACCCGTGCTGAGTGTGACTTGCAACTTCTGTGCAAATTAAAGCTGCTTTTCTCGGGCTGAAATTGCTGGCTAAACTCCACAACTTAGATTCAGCCCAATGCAGTCATTAGAGATTGGCTTAAACTCATTATCTCCTTTTCATTAGTGTTAACCATTAACTCCGGGTAGTCCTGTTATTGATATAAATGTCTCTGAAACCTTCTGAGCTTTTGGCTTCAACAGATTTCATAAGCCGGTTGGGGAAAGTGTTTCTTTTCATCAGTTTCAAATTTGTCACTATTTTGGTGGAATCAAAGGGGATTCTTGTGTTGCAAGGCAGGGAGGACAGACATACCAGATGTACTTTGTCTCTCTCATTCATTAATTCACATACATTTATCATAAGACTTCCTATTTGTCTCCTTTTTAAGATAAATAATCTCAGCCCTTCCAATCCCTTGTCATATGGTGACAAGAATGATTTAAGGACCTGGAAAAATCCCAAATGACAAGGGATACAGTGACTGGTATATTTAGTCTGGCCATCTCATTTCCTGAGGGCTGGAGCAGAAGATGGAGATGTCCAGATTGAATATTCTCGTTTCTCTGCAGATGTCCCACTGAGCAGTGTAGGGACAGAGGCACAAATATGCATCTGTCCACCCAATATTTTGCATTTTTAGTGTATTTGTGGGCTAAGCGTGGCTTGAGAATGAAATAAGATGGATTCAGCAGGGGCTGGCAGTGTGGCATATTGGGTCCTGAGCAGAGATGTGGTTGCTGACCATGAGTTGCTCGCTGTGCTGATGTGATTTTCTAACCTGACCGAGGTTATAGCTGCAGCATTTGTTTAAGATGCGATCTAAATTGCAGGGCATCTCTCATAGGGCTTGGGAGAGCTGGGCTACCTCACTGCTGTTCTACTGGTGGAAGGTTATGCAGCCCCATTTCCCTACAGAATACCCCCAAGTCTTTCTCAGGTTATTTGGGAGTCTCAGCAGGGCTGTCAATGCCCTCACCGTGGGTAGAAGCAGCTCTGTTTTACAGTGCTGATCCTATCAGAAATCACAGTGGTTGTGTGTCTCTAATACCAATTCCTGTCTTGAGTTCTACCACTTGGATGGTGGCTTGCACACATCCCTAAAGCAGTTGGTAAATGTGGAGCTACTCCTCCCCATGTCCTGGGAGTGGTGTGAACAATTAGTTAATGCTTGTGCAACACCTGGGGGGCTGTGATTGCTTTTCATAGCAGGGAAATGGCTCTGAGGTAACGTGGGGTCCCAGGATGGGAAGCCTGGGTGCCATGGGAGGTATCAGTTCCTGGAGGTTTTCAAGAACTGTGGAGATGTGGCACTGATGGCCGCAGTGGGGATGAGTTGGGGTTGGATTTGATGATCGTTAGTGGTCTTTTTCAACCTTAATGATTTTATATCTGTGTGCTAGGAGGGGCATCCATAAGAAGCATGGCTCACCCAAGGGATATCTCCCTTGATGAATCCCAGGTTGGTTTGTTTACGAGCTCGCAGGGAGCTCATATGGAACAAACTATTTGAGAAATCTTTCCCTGCAGCCGAGCCTAATTTGTCCTGTCAATTCGGTGCTCGCCTTCCCTCGCTCGTGTTTAGCACCATTGATTTATTGGATTGCAGGAATATTAAGGACCTCAAACTATTAGTCCTGATTACAACTTCTTGGCGGCTTCATCACTCCACGTGCCCCACCGCGCTCCTCACGAGGCTCTCAGCAGCACCTGAGCACAATTCCCTGCTCTCCTCTCTTCCTCATCCTCTTTTGCTCTCCCAAATGCTTGCAGTAAGAGGTGAGCCCATGAGGTTTTTTGGGGGGGAGAGGAAGCACCATCTCAAGCTGAGATGGACTCATCTGGAGCAGAACTAAAGGGATGAGGTTGCTGGAGTCCTTGCACTGATGTCTTTGCTGTTGGAGCTCCCCTTGTTCCTCTGCTGCTTCCTGTCCCTTCGCTCCTTTTGGTCATTACCTGACATCCTGTAGACAGTACTGATTCATTCCTGTAATCAACATCCTAATTAAAGGTCTTGAGTGTTTTTTTTAATCTTTGAGTGGCCCGCACAGTCTCTTCCATTTTCCCTTTTCTGGTTCCTGAATGCTTCCAGGAGGAAATGTGGTCTTTACGGCTGTTCACTCACCAGGAACACATTTAGCTCCTCTGGAGAAAGGGAGCAAGCAGCAAAGACGTGCTGCAGAAGCTTTGCTTTTGAAGCTGTCGCTGGCCTGGATCAGGAGAAAAACAGCCTCAGGCAGCAAGGGAGGGGGAGAGCAGGGAATTTGGGGCGAGAAATGTGCTGAAAGGAACAATCTGCACACAGCCGTGCTGCATGCAGAGGATAGATGGGTGCTCTGCAGAGGGCTGTGCATACGTTTTCCTTGGGATTGAGGGGCTTTTTCTATAGGGGTGCTCAGCTGGGCACTGCAGTAGAGCTCATCACAATGAATGGCTGCAGGAGATTCTCCTTGCCTGTGCTGATGGATGTGGAGGTGAACCTGTATGAGGGACTGCTTGTACCCAGGCTGGTAATAGATGAGCTTGTTTAGGGGGCAGTGAGGCAGGAGCTGATAGTGGCAGCAGGTATTCTTGTCACCAGACTGTCCCATCTGTCTTCATTGGCTTTTCCAGCCCTCCTGTCCTTTGCTTGGCATCCCCTCTGGTCAGCACATCGTGGGCAGGAGGAAAAGCTGCTTAAGAGCTTTTGGTGGGGGCAAAAAGAGTGAGGAAATGCTTGTAGCGAGTCTGAAAGCTTCGTGCTATTTATACCGTTGGTCAGGGGGGGCTCTGATCTCTGCAGTGCCTTCCGAACGATGCTGAACAGTGCAGAAGCTCCCCTAAAAGCTGCAGTCCAGCTCCCTGCTTGGGGTTCCGACTTACAAACGCTTCAGGAGCGATAGATGTCACAATGTGGGGAGAGGCAGCAGCCCCCCCTGCATCCACCCTCAGATTCAGCCAGTGGAAATGGTCACGGCATTGCTTTAGGGGAAGCAGGAGCTGGCTGGACTGCCGGTGCCGTATCCCCTCCTCCTTTCCTGCCCTCCTTTATGGGGACATAAGAGCTTCATTTCCAGTCCCGTCCGTCCTCAATCACTCACGGGCTGAGAAATATTTTGCAGAAAGTTTCCAGTCTGCTGGTTTGAGACTCGCGCACTCGTCTGGGCGAACTGCAGTGAGTAATGGCTGCTGTGTGCTCCACAAGGACCCGGCCGCTTCCCGACGAGAGGCTCTCAATCATGCTTTCCCAGCCCTGTGGCCACACAGTACTTCAGCCTAATTACGGCAGCGCTGCTTAATATACTGCAGCCACGAGGTGTGAGGGGAGTTGCTGTGTCTTGTGCTGCCCATCAGGCAGCTCTGCGTGCTGGGAAGCACCGGGTCCCCTCTGATGGTTGGGGAGAAGTCGCCTTTCTCCAGTGCTGCTCAGACAAAAGTGGTCTTTGCTCCTTTTTGGCAGTTTGCAGGAGAACCGGTGCCAGCTGCAGTGTCGATTACCAACGTGGTGTTTTGGATTTAGGCTCCGTGACCCCACTGGGTCCCTTCCAACTTGGCATTTTCTACAGTGCTGCAATAAACCTTCACAGGAGACAGCAGAAAGCGTTCGGAGCACCAAATCTGTTGGGAACAGTGCCTCAGTCCCCGTCCATCCCTTGTAATGCCATTCCCAAGGGGTTTGGGTCCTCCCTGGTCCCACGGAGCAGTGCCTGGCTGAGCAGCACGTACGTTACTGAGCAGCCAGCGTGCTTAAGGAGCTAAATTTATTTCATTTTCTAAACTGCAGCTGGGAAAAAATAAGGAGCCATTAGGCTGTCAGTTGTCAGAGCTTTACAGGAGCATCAACGCATCATGTTTTTCTTTACTGAGACATTAGATGTGTCAAGACCTGTGATGGACTGTCTGGATCAAATTCAGAGGGCAGGTGGAATGGTGAGCGAGGGCAGGGAGGTTGCTTTGGCCTCCCCAGCTGTGCTGTGGTACAGAGCACTCTGCTTTGTGAAGCACGGGGGCAAACCCTGCCCTTTTTGTCACTGTGCAAGTTGGATTCTAGGAGAAATTTCTTCTTGGAAAGGGTGGTGCTGCACTGCACAGCTGCACAAGGAGGGAACTGGGGGGTCACCATCCCTAGGGGTGTTCCATAACCCTGGGGATGTGGCACTGAGGGATGTGGGCAGGGTGGGTTGGAGATCTCAGAGCTCTTTTCCAACCTGAATGATTCTTTGATTCTATGCTGGATGCTTTGGGTTCAGACATGGGGATGCTGCAGCTGGGTGGGCTCTGGGTTTTTATTTTTATTTTTTTTTACTTTTTATTGAGTTTGGGGGACATACAATACCCACCCAAGGCCATCGCTGAGCGGATTTGCAAAGTTCTCCTGAATGCAGTGTTTGGTCTGCATGCGCACAAAATGTACGGCAAATATTTCATTTCAGATGCTGGCATATTTGCACTGGCACTGACTGCATTACATGTGAGTGATGAAAGGCTCTGTATAAATATGGTGTTTCCATTGGTATTGATTGCATTAGGATTGCAATTACATTTGCAATGGAGCCGACTGTATTACGTGGGTTGTTATATCGGCAGCCATCATCAGTGCTTGCCTGCGGGCACTTTTTCCTGGAGTGGGAATGGAGCTGGAGGTCGGTGTGTTCTGGCTGCACAGCATCTGTCTCTGTGCACATCCCTGTGCTGGGTACAGAAACAGTTGCATGCATGCAAGAAAAGACCTCTAAACTTTTGAGATGACACTGAAAAGTTCCTTCTTGCTCTCAGCACTGACCTCCCTATTATAGAAGCTAATTTCTTCACATCATCTGGGTAGCAAAATGCCTTTGCTCCTTCAATTCAATCTCTGACTCGCACTACTTTTTTTTTTTCTTTTTGTTTTGTGAGAAGCGGTGCTGAAGGCTCAGAGGTGTTTTTGATATTTTCCAAGTCAATATCCCTTCCTGGTAAGAACAAGATGTAATCTGTGTGTGTGCTGGCACAGAGGAAGCCCCTTGCTGGAATGGGAAGAAAGGGACCTGCACATCCCAGGTGTAAGGGATGACTCTGCTTTTTGCTGCCCTGTGAAGCTTGTGTGATGGATGCCCTTTGCTGCCCTGCTTGTAGATCTGGTCTTGCTTTCTCTCTCTGGACTGGAGGGAGCTCTGTGCCTGCTCCTTGCCCGAGGCCAAGGAGGGCTCTGATGCAAACGGATTGCAAGCAGATGCCTTGAGTTCAGACAGCATTCCCCCAGCTGTTAATGGGAAAGGTCACAGGGTGATGGAGTGACAGCGAGAAGGGGCAGAGGGTAGGGACAGTGGGAGATGAGGAGGTGAGAGGAGCAGCGATGGCTGCAGAGAATTCCTTCATCTATTGCTTAATTATGGAGGTGACAATGAGGTGGCCTGGTGGCCCGGTCTTGGCCACTGTGGCCCCTTTGAAAGGTGGTGGAGATTTGGGGTTTGGTTTGGGTTGTGCCTCTGGCTGTCAGCCACTGCCCTGAGGGTTTGTCATCACGTGGAGAAAGCGAAATAAATAAATAAGCACAATCCACAAAGGGGTGAAAGTGATGAGGGGGAGGAAAGGAATAGGAAGGGACGCAGAACGCGCTCCCTCTCTGACAGTCCGCATGAGTTTGAAGTCAAAACATTCTGTGCATGTCTGCTTTTTCCCTTGCTCGCCACCTGGTAGCTATTATCAGATGACAATTTATTCCAGGCGTCCTCTTGGGAAGAGATTTCATGAGCAGAAAGATTTAAATCCCAGGAAGGGCCGCGATGATGCTGGGTGGCTCAGGTTGCCCATCCCAAGCTGTGTTCCTCTGGTCCCCCCCCCTGCCTATCCTTAGGCCATGGCAATTCAGCATCCAGAATCCTCTGCTGGCTCCTGCACCCCTCAGGCTGCTCCCCCCCCAGCGCCGGGTGCTTCTCTCCTGCTTAGGAGCTGTCAGGACAAATTGCTGGTTCACACCGTCCTTTTTTGTCTTAGCTTTTTGCCTTTGTTACAGAGGCTTATTAGTCAAATTATGAACTACTCAAATGTTACTTAATTGCTAATGACACAGTAATAAGCTGCAGTGGGATAACGCAATCCAAAAACCCCTTTATCTTATCCAAACGGCCACCTTTTCAACGAGCATTATGACTTTCCCCTCATTAGTGGGATTGTGCTATCACAGCCTCGCTGTGCTGCCTTCCCCGTGCACAAAGTTGGACACAACCCTTCGTGCCCTCCCCCCCCCTGGGCTCCTCATAAGCACTGAGCTGCAGCACGTTGGCAACTTCGCTTCCCCGACAGTGAAAATAGACTTGTCATGTTTGGTTTGGTTTCCAGCAGATGGACTCACAAATAACTTCATTTGATGGTGATGATGGGAAAGGGGGAAGGAAAAGAAAATCATCTCGATCGCTTCCCGAGAGTAATCCAATGATCTATGGAGCTACTCAGAAATTAAAAAAAAAAAAAATAAATAAATGAAAAAAGCATTGTGAATTATCTGACAAGAATGTCAGCGTGTCTTGAATGAAGTACTTGTGGCACGTAACTCAATTGGCTGGAGTTCCTCGTGTGCTTCAGTGCCTTCCTATGTGGTGCATTGGAATATGCTGCAGATGCCCGAGCCCTGCTTGTGGGTTTTGGATGGAGATGCATTGGGAGGGAGGAAATGAGACAGCTTTGGCCTCAGCTGCCCTCCTCCTGCTGGTGCAAGCGAGACCCCGACCAAACTGTCCTGTAACAGTGATGGAGTGATGCTTTGTGCCTGTTCAGGGTCCCTGGTTGAGGTGACTCCTGTGATGTGGGGCTGCTCTGTGATGGCTGCAGGCAGATTGCTCAGCTCTGGAGAGCTCTGGTTTCCCGGAGTTCAAAATGAGATGGCAAATTGAATTTGTTCATGAGCATGGAGGCTCTCTAGGGATTCCCTTTTAACTCGCTAGGCTTGCTTTAAGGGACTTCTTATTCTCTCACAGAAAGGATAGGCTTGGTGCTTCCTTTTTTCTTCCTTTATGATTTTTCCCCTTTTCTCATGGCTCCTGCAGAATATGTCTGACAGCAGAAATGTCCCTTCCCACGACCCTTATCCTGGTGCCTTCTGTTCCCTGTTGCTCTGCATGCTGCAGTCAGCCAGGAAAGTTTGCTTTGCAGAGAGGTGTGGGGCACCTTTCATAAGGGCAGCGGGGAGGTGAGGTCAGCCAAGCACAGCCCTGCTTCTGAGGATGGCAGAGGATGCAGGGTTTTGGTTTTTTGCCCTTCTCAGAATCATAGCATAGCCTGGGTTAGATGGGACCTCAAAGATGATGTAGTTTCAACCTCCTGCTATGAGCAGGGTTGCCTACCACCAAATCAGGCACTACATGAGGTGGCCCAGGGCTCCATCCAATCTGCCCTTCCTCCTCATCTGCTTGGATGAGAAGCTTTTGGGTTGAAGCATTGCCCCCAGCTCTGCATGGGGTGATGGCATGCGTTGTGCAGCAGAGCTTGGACCAGTAGCATGTATTACTGCCTGCCCTATCTCTACCCAAATTCTCCCCCTGGATAATTGGAGAAAAAAGAAAACACAGAGCTTTTGTATAGCTGAGGGGAGGTGGGGGTGTATCTCTGCTTCCCTCCCCTTCTTTTTCATTTGTTTCACTGCTGAAAATGGAGCCCATGTGTGGCTGATCCAGCAGAGGCAGTGACCTCTCCACGAGTGGACACGGCTCAGTTTTGCTGATATTCCAGTCCTGTGCTTACCCCAGTGAAGCACTGCTGCCTGCTAAACTCACAGGGCTCGTTGTTAAAGCTAAAGTAGTGTAACAAAACAGGATACGAGGTGAATTTTGCTGCGCTTTAGGTTTTGCTGTGATTTCAGTGTCTGGATTTGTCGTCGTTCTGGGAGCATCAGGACGGTGTGACTGTAAAATTCATTGCTGCTGAGCTTGACACTGGTGCTGCTATGAGCTGTGTGCTTACAGCACGTCCCTGAGGCTGTAAACCCCAAGGATGAGAGCCAGCAAAACCCTGGGGCTCCCCAGCAGCCTGCACCAAGGGGCTCTGACATGCATTGAGATCTGTGCTCAGAAGGTGCTACTGAAGGGCAGAGTCTGGGGATGTTTGGATCTTAATGTTTTACAGCTCCTCTGCCTTCAAACAATGCCTAAAAATACAAGTGTATGCAAATTATAAACTAATTTAGATGATGGAGCATGG